TGTTTTAAACTTATTCTAGATGACAGTTGTGGAGTTGCAATCCTTAGATTATTCTAGTCGTTTCCAAAGATATTTGCCCTCCTTTTCATTTTTTTAAAAAAGTATACTTTTTCCTAATTAATTAATTGATATCGATTTCATTTAAAACATGGAGTTAAACTCATGTGCTCTTGGTATGGGCAACAAATGTTGGATATAAATGGTATGAGTTGGTTTAAGTGGGTCAAATGTTTCATTCGTTATCCATTTATGATCAATTTATTTTCTAAATGGATAATTGTACCCACTTACTCATATCTTATCTGATAATTCAATTAAATTGTTTGATTAAATTCGACTAATTTCACTATATTTAAATAAAATGAATTATCGACATGTTGTAACATGATTAATAAACCTTTATTGATATAGGGACTAAATGCGGTTATAAGAAATAACTTCCATGCGTGAACGTATTTGTAAGAGATATAAAATATAGGAACCAAAATAAATTTCTCAAAACTTTCATAGACTAAAGTCCGCATTAATTGATGAGAAACTAAATTTTCTTTCGAATATATTATTTTCTTAAAAGGCCGAATGTATGCCCAAACCTAAATCCACCTAACCCTTTTAAGTTTGGATAATTTTAAATCAACCCATATACGATCCATTTGAATTTTATAATAATGCATTTATTAAATATACCCATATGAAATAGATGAGGAATCCGATAAGAATTAATGAATTTGAATAGCTTTTGAAACTCTAACTCTCGGTCTTCACTAAAATTGAGAAAGAACTCAACTATCACCCATTTAAATTTGGAAGTTTTTACACTCTTATTAGATGCAAAATTGTTTACACGAGTATTATTTTCGGGCTTACTTACGGTATTGTTCGTCCCTCTACTACTAAAAATTATTTTTTTGAGTCCCTCTACATTAGGTTTCTTGTTTAATGTCAACCCTTCAAGGTCACCATCTCTAATACCGTCGGGAGTTAACGGAAGAAGCATAGATGAAGGACAAGTGTTCATTGATCGCTTTGACCTCCATTTTATGTAGAAATTGAGATTATCAAAATGGAAAACCATTTCTTATAAATAATGAATAACGGATTTTGAACTGGAAAAAACTACCAAAAGATTTTGAAAGGTATTTAAAATTGCCAATTCAAATAACAAAAAGAAAATCAATTTTTTTCTTATTTTCATAAACTAAAAAGTTCAAATAAAAAAGTCTAAGAATTCTCTCTTGTTCATCACGGGTTCTTATGAAAGACAAAATGCAATTTGTTATCATTTATTGATAATGGATTTTGTAACATTCACATTAAAATTTGACCTTTAAAACAAAACCTAACTTCAAAATGTTATAAACGACTAGAAAAACTAAATTAAGAAGCTCACATAGAATTTAATTTTAATTGCTTTCAAACTCCTCATAAATAAAAAAATAAAAAAAATTAATAAGAGAGTGATTGGGATGAGAATGAAAGAGGAGCTTTCTATGGTGATGAGAGAGCATGAGACATTGTTAGTGAAATAAGGACAATTTTTCTTTCTAGAAATGAAAGTGAAAGAAGAGGAATAAAAGGAATCCACTTTCATGTGATAAAGATAGCTGAAAGAAGGTAGAACCGGGTTGTTTCTCTTGGTCAATAGCAAGAAAGAGAATATTTCAAGTTTTTCAAAATTTAAAAACCTAAAAAGCTCTCTACCTATACTTCTCTATACATATGCTATTTATTCTAACACGTGTTTGTTACCATTTAAAACTGTCAAACTAACTTTAACAAACTTCTAACTAATTAACAAACTTCATAAGCAATTAGTTTTGTGATGTGGCGAGCACATGGTCGGTTTGTTGCCGACTCATTTTTAACACTTCATGCTTGAATGCAGAGTGAAGAACATGATCTATCTTGCTAGTAGTATCATCGTCGTGGAAACTTCCTTTGGTGAATACGTCCGATGAAGCTTCGTTGGTGTCTTCTTTTGATACTCCTCCTCAAGAGGAGTATGTATGTCAATCATACTTATCTTGCTTGTCCGATGAAGCTTCGTTGGTGTCTTCTTTTGATACTCCTCCTCGAGAGGAGTATGTATGTCAATCATACTTATCTTGCTTGCAAGAAATTAAAGTCGAGAAGGTTGAAGAGGCTTGGTGAACAAGTCTGCTATTTGGTTTTCGAAGAGACATATTCCGGTCTCAAAACTTCAGCAACAACTTTTTCTCCGATGAAATGGCAATCCATTTCAATGTGTTTAGTTCTTTCATAAAGCACGGGGTTTTGAGTCGATGCAAATAGCGGATCGATTGTCGTATTTTAATGTAACTCGCCTCTTTATACTCAAATCCTAACTCTATAAGTAGGTTTAACAACCACACAACTTCACAACATGTGGTGGCCATGGCCCTATATTTAGCCTCGGCTGAACTTCTTGCTACCATAGTTTGTTTCTTAGATTTCCAGCTAACAAAAGAGCCATCAAGAAAAATGGAATAACCGATCAATGATCTCTTAGTATCTCCGTATCTAGCCCAATCACTATCACTATATGCAACCAGTTTGTGATTGGAAGAAGATGGAAACAACGAGACCTTTGCCGGTGCTTGCTTCGTGTATTTGAGGACTCGAAAGCGACTTGCAAATGAGAGTTAGATGGTTTATCCATATATTGAGATAAGCACTTGGGTTGTAAAAGATATATCCGGTCCGGTGAAGTTAAGATACAAAAGCTTCCCTACCGGTTGTCTATATCGACCGAGATTATCAAGTAAGTCAATATCAATTTGCACAAGCTTTCCATTTGGATGAACTGGTGTAGAGGCTGGTTTTGTACCAAGTAGACCATACTCGCTATCAAATCAAGTACATACTTCCTTTGGCACAAAGCAATTCCTTCATCCGATCTTGCCACTTCAACCCTCAAAAATACTTCAACTGGCAAGATCTTTCGGTTTGAACCGAGAGTGTAAATATTGTTTAAATTTTGTAACGATATCAATAGAGTTTCTGCAATGACTAAGTTATCAACATATACCAATGAAAGCAAGAAAGTTATTAGGAGAAACATTTTTGATGAACAGAGAGTAGTCAACCTTTGATTGTGTGAAACCGGAGGACAGCGAGGCTTAAGTAAGTTTGGAATTCCATTATCTTGATGCTTGCTTTAATCCATATAAGGAATTTTGAAGTTGACGAACGTGCCTAGTATACTCCCCCTGCACATGATACCCTAAAAGAACATCCATGTATACTTGTCTCCTTCAAATCACCATCGAGAAAGGCATTATTAACATCCGTCTATGACGAGTATCCATCATTGAGAGGCTTCTAAAGCAAGAAATACACAAGCCGTGGTTTGTTTAACCACCGGGCTAAAAGTCTCTTGGAAATCATACCTAGCTCGTCGATTGTAGCCCTTAGCCACCAATCTTGCCTTATACTCGTCTATTGAACCATATGCATGAAGTTTAACCTTATACACCCATTTACATCATATACTTGTGATGTCCGGGAGGAAGTGATACAATGGTCTAAGTGTTGTTCAACTCAAGAGCATCAAGCTTTGCTTGCATAGCATTACGCCAATGAGCAACCTTAACGAACTTGGTTAAAATCATGTGGTTCATCAAGATCGATAAAACCGATATAAAGGTCGTGTATGAGGAAGAAATTCAGCGAGAGGAAATAAAATTCTGAATAGGAAAAGTAGTCGAGCATGACCGAGGAGAAAGAATAGGAGTAGTAGCTAGGTTGACATGATATGAAGACAAGTATGAAGGAGGCTTTCTCACTCGTCACTTCTCCTAAATAGAACATCCGAGGATATGATACCGTTGACTAGAACAAAAGGATGTGCATTTGATGATGAGGAATTAGGTACACCGGAAGAGGAATTAGAGGTATCGGAAAGAAAAAGTTGACCAATAGGAGACACCTGGAGTGTGATGGATTGTGTTATTTGGAAATGGTTCATGCACAGGATCATAATGTGGGACAAGAACTACAAGTGCTTGAAGGAATAGGTGAGGACAAAGAAAAAGTTATAAAGTTAAGAGAAAATGGGAAAACACTTTCATGAAAAATGACATCCTTGGATACAAACACAGTATTAGCATTCAAATCATAAAGTTTGTAGCCTTTTATACCATTAGGATAACAAATGAATATGCATTGTCTAGATCTAGGTTCAAACTTTTTCCTACTATGGATAAGGGTAGAGGCAAAACACGGACATCCAAAGACCTTTAAATGACTATAAGAGGGAGGTTTGTGAAAACAAAACTTCGGATGGACCTCTATTCTATAACACTCTGGAGAAGGTAGTCCGTTTATTAGGTAAGTTGTTGTCAAAATTGCATCCCCTAAAAAGAAATAGGTAAATGGGATTGGAAAAGTAAGGCTCTAGCAGTAGTTAGCAAATGTTGATGCTTTCTCTCAACAACACCATTTTGTTGAGGAGTTTCTACACAAGATAACCGATGCAAAATGCCTTTTTCGGAGTAAAACTAATGTAGTTTAAATTTGGGATCATTATCCGATCGAATTTGTTTGATGACAAAGCCAAATTGAGTATGAACAAGATTAAAAAAACTAGAAAGAATGGAACTAACTCTAGATTTATGTTTCATCAAGAAAACCTAGGTCATGTGGGTGAAATCATCAACAATGGTTAAGAAATATTGAAAATTACCAATGGCGGATTGTGAATAAGGACCTCATATATCCACATGAATCAATTGAAAGGGGACAAGTAGTACTCGTGTATGAGTGGGAAAAGTTAAACGCTTGTGTTTAGCCATAAGACAAACAACACATGGAATTTTATTTGATTTTGAGATAAAATGAACTTCTTTACAGCTTTAATGAATGACCTTAAGTTTGTCAAAAGACAAATGCCCTAACCTAAAATGCCATAGATCAAAACGATCTATGGCATCAAGTAAAGGACCTACGAGTATTGACAAAAACAGATTAGTGGTTGGAATTCAAAACTTGTCTAACAAGAGATGAAGACCGAGGCAAAACAGATGAACTTTGCGGTAAGTAAAGACCTTCGAGTAGCCTTAGCAAGCCCAATCACTATCAAAGAAGGCGAGTGCTTAAATGAAACAAAATTCACCACTAAAATTAATGAAAAACTTTTTGGATTGAGTGAGTTTACTAACGAGAGATCAAATTGAACTTGAAAGAAAGCACGAATAAGACATTATTCAAAACCAAGTGTTGAAGATAAAGCCACGGTACCGGAATGTGTAGCAATAACCTTAGAACCATCCGGCATTATCACAAACGTGTTATCAATTGTATGAAAAAAAGTAAAAGAACTTAAGTCGCATGCAATATGATTCGAAGCTTCGTATCTATGATCCAGTACATCATTATTCATAAAATGTGTTACACATTGTGGCAATTATGTACAACGAAATATAGAGAGGTAGGGGATTTATTACTCGTATTGTTAGGAGTTTCGATGAAACCTTAGATGCAGTGAAGTAGATTGCTCATTGAAAAGAGCTAGCAAATGTTAAATTTGATGCTCGAGTGAACAATGCTCGTGGTTTTGTAGCTTTCCTCGACATACCGCAAGTAAAGTTCAAATTAGTCTCAACCTTATATTCGCCTTATCGTTGTATGAGAGAGTGTTTGCATCATTCCGTTTAACCACTCGAATTAACTCTAGTAAAATTAGCTCTTTTTCTAGCAAAGTCGAGTTGATCTGCAGTAGAGGAAGTGGAGCAAATTTTGGATTGTTTGGAAATCCAACCAAACGAAAACACCTATCCTTGGTGTGGCTCGACCTTCCACAATGTGTACACATAAGAGTATTCCCGGATCTATTATGATAAACACTTCGCCGATCATAGTCGATGATTCTATAACAAATGGTTGAGGATAATGACCTCATTTCGTGACTCCTCTCGATCACTAGGTTGTAAACCTCATCGAGTGAGGGAAAAGGCTTTATCATAATCACATTTGATCTTAATGCTGCATAAGACTCATTCGGACCATTAAGGAAACGAAATACACAATCTTTTTTATGAAGGTCATTTCTTGAAACAATCCACATTACACTTATTGCATTCACAATGTGGTAGAGGCTCGTAGTTTCTCAATTCTTCCCAAACTAAGTTCAACTCGGTAAAATATTCCTCAACACTGCGACTTCTTTGAGTGATCGAACTCAATGTGTGCTGCAAATCGCACACCTTAGAATCATCTACCTATGAGAAACGTTTCTACAATACTCTCCATATTTCTACCGTAGAATCCATATAGAAAATTGTGGCGACAATCGATGATGAAATTGATCTAAGCAACTAAGAAATTATCAAATTATTCCATTTCAACCATGGTCCAAACGAGCATCTTCTCTCTGCAGTGCCGTAATCGATCCATCAATGAAACTTGTTTTGTTGTGGATTGATAAAGCCGACAAGAATGACCGACTCCGAGTTGCATAGTTGCTTGAAGCAAGCTATGGAGTCACTATCACGATCGTTGTGATTGTCACTATGGTGAAGAAAAATGGAGATTGAGGATCTTCCGTAGAAAGAACGGATGCCATTGATTCCGTAAAAAAAAAAAAAAAAAAACTTAGGAAGAGGAATCAAGAACCTTAGGCTCGATACCTCGAAAGAAAGCAGAACCAGTCGCTTCTCTTGTTCAATAGAAAGAAAGAGAATGCACCGAGTTTCAAGTTTTTCAAAATTCAAAAACCTAAAAAGCTCACTGCCTATACTACTCTATACATATGCTTATTTATTCTAACACGTGTTTGTTACCATTTAAAACTCGTCAAACTAACTTTAACAAACTTCTAACTAATTAACAAACTTCATAAGCAATTAGTTTTTTGTTTGTTGCTAGCTCATTTTCAACACTTCATGCTTGAATGCGAGTGAAGAACATGATCTATCTTGTTGGTGGTATCATGTTGTGGGAACTTCCTTTGGTGAATACGTCCGATGAAGCTTTATTGGTGTCTTTTTTTGATAACGGCGACTAACAAGAAAAAGTGAGGAGATTAAAATTTGGGATTTTGGCTTTCGATTTTGTTGACAAGAAATGCTATAGGATCCGATTGATTTGAGATGAAAGTATTGAGAGATGATGACCAACCACAACATACATAGTACTTTTCTGTTTTTTTCTTTTTTTCGGCGAATTAGTAAACACTACAATTACTATTTTTAGAAAGTAAAAAAAATCTAATTATTGGATTTTTCTATTTTTCGTTTAATTTTTTGCTTTATGTTGATTGAATAAATTAATTATTAAAATAAGAAACAACTTATTAATAATAAACTAAAGGTAGTCGACACAATACATGTGAAATGTTTAACGTTTCTCTTATCAACTCCTGACAGTGTTACAAATAGTGACAATCGGAGGGTTGACATTAAACAAGAAACCGGATTTAAAGGGACTCAATGCGATCTTATTTTGATAGTGGAATTCAATAAAATAATTTATTGCTGTGAAGGGACGAAAAGTATCGCAAACCCTATATTTTCCTTTCCCTTGAAATAGAAAAAAGCCATCATATTGTGTTCCACGAACATTTTTCACTTGGGAATCACCTCCTTTGCATATTCGAATGCTAAAATCAGAGAGTTTTAAAATAATAACTAATAATATTTATTTTATTAATCTACTGAGATTGACTAAAAAAATATTTTTATTTAGATTTAAATTTTTTTCTTATGTCTTTTTTATATAAAATAAATATTGTTAATTATTTATTGATGGAGCATAAAAAAGTTTGTTTAAAATCATACTCTCCGTTATGGTAACATTTCACACAATATTTTGATTTTATTTAGATTTTAGAATAGAAACAATAAATTTAATATCTTTTAATAAATACAATTTTAAACTTCGAAGAAAAAAATTTGAGCCCATCGCGGTGCTGACAGCTTTTTGATAACGACATTTCGATATCCTCCACGCATCACTGAATAGAAAGAAGTCTGACCAGAACAGAAACGTCCATAAATGACGACTGTGGCAGCTGAGCTTTCAAAAAGTGGAGTCATATCTAGAATTTTTGGTGGGGGTGGGGGGTTGGTTGGGTTGGGCGCGCTGCGGGGTACTAGCGGTCTGTGGACCATGGTGTCAATCACAAAAATATCTTGATGTTTGTGTGCAAGCGCAGGCATTCAGACAAGCAATATTTTTTAAAAAGACAAAGCCAACGATTGAGATTGCTTTTACAATATGCTTGTGGGATGTAAAGGAGTGGTTATTTGATATGGTATTAATTTTCAATAAGTTTGAATTCTATTATCTTTATTATTCTGTTTAAATTAAATTTTTTAGCATAAAATATACTCTAATGTCAAGTTTTTTTTAGAATGTGTTAAAGAGTTAATATAAAACTCAAATTTTAAACTTTTTATAATTTTCAATTCAGAGTAATGTATTAAAATTTTCAACAGTTAAACTGTTTTTTTTTTTTCCTTTTATTGAAATGCTTTTCTTTACACGAAAGCTCTACATTAATATAAGACGTCAGAATTTGAAGTTAATCCTATTCTACACGTGAGGTCCATCACCATCGACATTAGAGCCAACGGTTTATATATATATATATATATATATATATATATATATATATATTTGATAACATATGAGAGTTTTATAAGCAAACATGTTAAATTCAAATTTCATCGTCTCTGTTTTTCTTATATTTAAAAATATAATAATATAAAATGATATGAATCTGTATGAGTTTTAAACTCAAATGACCTTCTCATAAGAAAGAGTTTTTTCTTTTTTCTTTTAATTAAAAATATAATAGTATAAGATAATGTAGATTTGTATAAATTTTAAATCCAATAAACTTTTATTTAAAAGAATGTGTTAGAAAATAATATAAATTATAAAAAATTATTAGCAACACTCTCCTTTAAACATTTATATCAAATAATAACAAATAAAAGATAACTAATTCATCATGTTATTAGAAAGTTTTTGAATTATAAACAATCTTCTATTATATAAAAGATTGAAATTCTCATTATTTATTTATTTACCTTTAAAATTATATGAAAAGATTTGACTTAAATAGTTTTATTGATGAAATGTTTAAAGGAGATTGTTAGAGAGAATGTTGCTAGCACTTCTACATATCACATCATGAGACCTCGCTTAATAAAATAATAAAATAGTTTAATTTTTTGAGTTAAGAATTTTTTTTTTTTTACAATAATGAAAATATCTTTAATCGAAATTCAACTTGCATTTTACAATGTAGCCAACGACTCTCTTATATACATGAGGCACGTGTGTTGCCGACTATGCTAACCAAAAAGAAACCGATTTATACCTGCTATAACTTCCTAACCGACGGTACTAATTTCCTATACAAAATACATTACATTATACGATATCTATACAATAGTTTATACACCGGTAATACCCCTCAAGTTGGAGCATACACATTGTGAATGCCTAACTTGGAAATAGAGCTATGGAAAGGAGACACCGCAAGTGGTTTGGTAAAGCAATCAGTAAGCTGGTTCATGGAGGAAACAAGGAGAAGCTTGATAACACCTTCCCGAAGTTTACGTCGCATAATATGGCAATCTAGTTCAATGTGTTTAGTACGTTCATGGAAGACGAGATTGGCGGCGATGCGCAAGGCGATCGATTATCACGGAAGAGAAGAGTAGAGCGAGGATGTTAAATGCCCGGATCATGCAATAAGTAGAGAAACCATTACAATTCACATGTAGCTTGGGTAAGAGCACGATACTACGCCTACGAGCTAAACTTAGAAACGATAGCTTGTTTCTTGGATTTTCGGGAGACAAGCGAAGAACCTAAGAACATGCGATAGCTAGTGATGGACTTGCGGGTGTCGGAACAAGTGGCCCACTCGGAATCCAGAAGCCACGAAGTTCGTAAAAAACTATTGATAGGGAAGAACAAATCCTAGCCAGGGCGAGCTTTAATGTAATGAAAGACTCTATGGACGACCTTCATGTGATTTTCGGTATGACAATCCAAGAATTGAGAAAGCTACCGAACGGAGAAGGCAATGTTAGGCTTGGTGGTGGTGAGATAGAGCAATTTTTCAACAATGCTACGGTAGGTAGTGTGATCAACGAGGGTGGACTATCGGTTTTGGACAACCGGTGAGTTGGAATCATAGGAGTAGAAGCAAGCTTAGCGAGTGAGGAAACCTAAATCGGTGAGCAATTCCAAAGCATACTTACGTTGACATAAATTAATCCTCGAGAAGACAGAGCAACCTCGAGACCAAGGAAAAATTTGAAGGAACCCAAATCCTTAATCTTAAGCTGGTTATGCAAGAAAGTCTTGAGGTGAGTGATCCGGTGCACATCGATACTAGCCAAGATAATGTCATCTACATAAACCAAAGCTGTAATAAAATGAGAACCGGAATGCTTAACAAAGAGAGAATGGTCGACAACGACTTGTGAAATACCGTGGTTCGGTAATGCTGCGAGACAATCATGCAAAGCACTCGCTCGTTGGTTTGTTTCAAACCATAGAGGGATTTAAGAAGCCTACGGACTTGTGTTAAGTTTGGAAGGAGTAAGGCCATGAGGAGGAGTCATATAAACCTCTTCGGTGAGATTTTCGTTCAAGAAGGCACTATTGACATCAAGTTGTTCTAGATGTCGGTGCTTGATAGAGGTAACGAGTGAGAAGTGTATGAATTGTAGACATCTTGGCAATCTGGACTAAAAGTGTCTAAATAATCAATTCCGACTTCGTTGTGTATAGTCTTTAGCCACCAAACGAGCTTTAAACCTTTCAATGCAACCATCGGACTTATATTTGATTTTATAAACCCATTTGCACCCAATGGACTTCTTTCCTTCAGAAAAATATGTCAAGACCCATGTATTGTTATCCTTGAGGGCCTTTAATTCATCCTGCATAGCAAGCCTCCAACATTCATGCTTAATGGCCTCAAAGTAAGTTTTTGGTTTAGTAAATGTACTAACATTGATGAAAAAGATCTAATGAGAAGGACTAAGACGAGAGTAAGATAAAACATTAGCAAGGAGATGAGGAGAAGTACGTGACCGAGCAACGGAACCTGCTGAAGCTGAAGGATAATTGGTAATGGTTGCGGACTGCGGAATGGAATAGTAATCATAGGCATGAAGGTAGGAGGAATGTGTTTTGGTCGAGAGGATTTTCTAAGTGGTTGGGTAGGAGTAGGAAAAGAGATAGAGGGAGAAGTAGAGAAAGCAAGAGATAAAGAAACAAGAAAAGATGTGGGAATAACAAAAGCGAGATGAAACAAAAACAAAATGCGAGGGTGAAATAGTAGGCAAGACAAGGTTAGATGTGTGAATTACAGAGTGCATTGGAAAAATATTTTCATAAAATATAACATCCCTAGAGATAAAAAATTAGTGAGTGCTAAGATTATATAACTTGTAGCCTTTAGTGCCATAAGGATAACCAAGGAAGACACAACTTGGCAGCTTTTAGATCAAATTCGGATATGGATTGAGCAAGAGTTGATGCAAAGCATAAGCACCCAAAAACTTTGAGATGGGAAAAAGTGGGTGGAGTGGTGAATAGAGCTTCAAAAGGTGTTTTCTTATCAAGAACATAAGAAGGCAATCTATTGATTAAATGGACGGCATGCAAGACACACTCTCCCTAAAAAGATGAAGGGATGTTAGCTTGAAATCTTAAGGATCTAGCTACTGTCAAAATGTGTTGGTGTTTACGTTCAACCACACTATTTTGTTGTGGAGTTGAAACGCAAAAGGTTTGATGAATGATATCATGTGTAGTATAGAATGTAGGCACATTGAATTCTTGGCCATTATCGGTTCGTATGCACTTGATTTTGGTAGAAAATTGAGTAGAAGCAAATGTGAAGAAATGATGCATAAAAGGTCTAGCCTCGGATTTTGATTTCATTAAGAATATCCATGTACATCTACTAAAGTTATCAACGATTGTGAGAAAATATTGATGACCGGATACAATAGGTACGAGAGAATGAACCCT